GTTTGAAGTTTGAAACTAGCAAAATTTAGAGTTTGAGTTCGGTTCGATCCCGGATCGGATCCGAACCGGACCGAACCCGAACCAAACATAGGAGCACTAACAGTTACTATTATACTGTTATAATAGTAACCATTAACGGTTATTGTTATTGTGCGATAACTAATCAAATGGATACTATCACATGACAGATTTTTTTACAGCAAATTCTAGAACAAAATTTGCCGAAATTTATAAGTTATTGATTTCAGTATGATTAGTGCGTGCCAATATATAAAAAAAATTTTTGAGTTACTATTACAGTACATTGTTCGATCAATATTATATTAATATGTATATATTATAATATTACATACATTTTAAACATAAGTTGAACTTTCTTAATAAACAATAAACAGTTTTGAATTTAAATGATCTATAAATATAAAAAAAATTTTTTTACTTCAAGTTTGTTTTTTATTATATAATTAGGTTTGTTTATTGAATATATCTATTCAAAAATCAAAAAAAAAAATTTTTGAAAATTGGTTTTTTTAATACATAACATCCGTATTACACGAGTAGGCACTAATAAAAAAGGTTAAATACGATCGAAAGTTTGTCAACTGGTTCGAAAAAAATGCAACACAAAGAGTCAAGATGTTATTAATATTTGCCGATGTCTTAATAATTATAAAGTTTTTACTATATTTATTTAAAGTGGTGGTAATTCTTCAGTAATGTAATACCGAGATAAATAGCTTATCGAATTCGGCCGAACTAACTTCGACAAATTTTTTTAGTGTGTCCCAAAATTTATGAAAACAGCAGTAATGCACGCATGTTACATGAACATACAAGGTATTAGATGTATAATTTTTCGAATCTTTATATGGAAAGGTCACAGAATTTCCAATTGGAGTATCTTTTAATTAGTATCAGAGATCAGAGTTGTTACAGGAATAGCTTTGGATATGAGTTTGGATATTTTGTAAAAAAAAAAAAAAAACTTTATTAAGGTAAACTATTTAATTCTCCTAAAAAAAAATTTAAAATTAAATGGAGTATATAAAGATATATTTTTATTTTAACTAATAAAATAAGGTTTGAATTCTTGAACATAATATTAGATTCGACTCTGACTTCTTATGAAAAGTGAATAGAGGGTATTTCTAGTGTCACAGAAAAAGTTATCTATAGGTAATTATATTACAACAAATTTAATCCTTGGGATTCAAAACCTAAAAAACCATGAAATGCTTGATGTTAAGCCTGTCTCAAAAAAAGCTATTGCCTTATAGCGTTAAAGTGTTAATGAACTAACAAACTTTTCATTTTTTTGATTCAATAATACTTCAAGAAGTTACATAGTGTTTCTGCAAAGTGCATATGTTAATGTCCTCCCTCAAGAAATTCAAAGATCCACATGGTGTTATTGTAAAAATATTTGAAATGCACTTCTTCTTTCTGATCAAAGCTATTTATTACCAGGAAGATTCAAAGAAACTGACATGGCATCTTGCAAAGCGCATCTCTAATGCTTTCCCTTTCTCAGTAAGATTTCAGGTCAGCATGTGCTTTCGCAAGTTCATCTATTAATGATTTTTCTCTTACGAAGCTGTTTTTTTTCTCTGAGAGAATTCAAGAAAAATACTATTGTATTCTTGTAAGTGCATCTCCTATTACAGTACTTTCGTCATATTGTAAGTTAGTGTAGTGCATTTTCCTTTTGTATTTTTTTATAATGGAGCACAAGTTATGCATAACATGAAGAGAAACCAGATCATAATCAGGCTGCGAAGAGAACAAGTGAACAAGATGAAGTAAGAAAGCACTGAAATTCTCCATTTACTCCCACATGTATCTTTATAATCTCAATTGCATTATCAATAATCTCTATCACATTTGATACCATTATCATTTAATATTTTGCAAATAATAACAAAAAATTCTTTTCCATCTTTATCTTTATCTGTAGCTTTGTCAAAGTAATGCCAAATCCAACTAGATTTGGTACGTTTTTTTTCATCTTTATTTAAGGGCTTTCTTTTTTTATTAGAGAATTCAGAATTTGAATTGTTAGAATGTTTTTCAGACATTTTTAAAAAGAATGTAAAAAGATGAAAAAAAAACTAAAACAGATAAATAGATACTTATATTTATATTTATTTTAACAATTATATATATATTTATTACTTTTATACTTAGAAAATATTATAATATATTACATGTATTTACTGTATTAAATACTATTTACTTCTCAGGATGGCAGGAATAATAAATATCTATGCGCATGCTACTTGTATTCAATTACATTTTTTAAAATTTTAAGAGCAAAACATAAAAACTTCAGAAAGAAAAAATTATTTCACTTATATTATCACAGTGAATTTTACTCCTGAGGAGTCTTCGGAGTAGAATTCACTATGATTAGAGATGGGCAAAGTTAGTTACATATTATTACTTAATATTACTATATAATAAGTAATTTTATAATAATTTGATTCTTAACAGCAATTTTCGTTTACTCGCCTCCAACTGTTATTATGCATTTATATTTATACATAATACTGTAATAAGTAATATGTAGAATGTAATAAATAATTTAATATTATTTAATATTAAGTAAGGGATAAGTCATAGGTAAATATTTAATCTTATTTAATATTAAATAAGGGATAAGTCATAGGTCATTATTACTTACAAAATTACTTTGTCTATCCATAACTACAATGATAATGAGTGACAGGTTTCCCTTCCCATCACTCATGCATATATTATATTAATATCTAATATCCAGATCTAATATGCAAAGAAATGTTAAAATTAATAGGGATAATGTAAATTTTTTGCAGATCGTAAAATGAATTTTTTTAATAAAATATTTTTTATAATTTGACTTTTTATTTCTATATCCTCAAAATAACACTTTATTCTCAAAAACAACTTGCATAATTGCAACAATTGCAATGCAAAATTTTAACATAAAAAATGTTAAAATTAACAGGAGAAAAATTTAAGTATTATTTTATTTCTCATATTCAGGGTTAATACTTTGAAGAACATTACGGGTATTGTCTCTTCTGCTATCAAGAAACCTATGTAGTCTTGCTGAGCATTGGTTAGCTTTGCTTTTCTCTTAATATTGTATCACTATGGGTGAGAGGAGAGAATAATGTAACCAAAATAAAAGTCGGGTTTGAAGAAAAGACCAAATTGACTTATTAATATACTATGATTCAATTACCTCATATTTACTCAATTATCTCGATAGTACTAAGCCATCTTTTTCGTCATGGTGTTAGAATGTAAATTGGTGTCCCGTTCGAGTCACAGGTTTTCTTTTAATTTTTATTTTATTTATATTTGTTTATTTATTATTTTTATAGTCTTTTTATTATTTAGTTATAGTTCGTCCTGCTCATACCTTTGTTTAAATATTAAGATGAGCAGTTGGGGCTAAAGTGTATATTCGAATAAGCCATATATTAGTGATGTGAGCAATGTGGCTTCATGTTACTTTAGAATAATTTAATCACAAACTCAACGACTGCTCATGAAGGGTTAAAATTATTTGTATAGAGAATTATTTTATAGCGTAGCCTTCGCAAACAAAATTGTATAAATATAGGTCTTTTTCGCCTTTCCAGAAAGGACATGAAAGAAGTTCTAAATAAATAAATCACTATAATTTGTATTAAAAATCTCTAAAAATTTCCCAAACATTAAATTACCTTGACTTCGCTTAATAACTAATCGTCCTCCTATCACGTTAAATTGTCTTTGTATATAAATATACGTTTGGTCTCTTATTTAACATAAAGGAAGTAAGTACTGAGGCTGAATAGACCTTTCCCTGAATAAATAAGATCTGTATATTATAGTGTAATACGTAATACACTTATGAAGGATTATTAATTAGATCAACCAATTACTTGGTAATTAAATTAATTACTACGAACATTTATTAGTGAAGTAGTGATCACGTATAAGATCACGTATAAGATCACACTTAAAATATATATAATATTTAATTAAGATCGAAACTACTCTAATTAACTAATTAAATTAATCAAAAAATTAATTTCGCAAATAAACTTTTATTATTATTAGCGAAGCATTACATTTAATTTTATATTCAAAACATAATTCTATTTTATTTTTAGTCATTATAACCTCTACTAAAGATACGCTATAACCTTGGTTCATATAATCAATGAAACAATACCACCCATATAGGCTAGGTGCTGGGAAAAGGGACGAAATTGACAAAAAAAAAGATCTTTGGAAAATCAAATTTTATAGTATAAATCTTATAATAAATCATAAGAAAATACAAACTTTAAAGAGCTATACTGCAAAATTTTATTAATATAACTACTTTTGTATCTTAATAGAAAAATGATTCTAATCTTATTTTAAATTGATTTATGTAAAAAAAATTGCTTTAGAAAAAATTGTCATTTTCGTCCCTTTTTCCAGCACCTAGCCCATATATGCTGTATTGATCTGCTACTAAAGTAAACCCAACTACGATTACAACAGCTTACCCAAAAATCTAACTCTATAATATTAATACACAAGATATGTAGTAAGTATTAAGTTAATTATTGCTATGTAAAGTAATACGCAAACAATATTTTTACGTTATGTTTTTCAAGATTAAAACTTAGGCCACATACATAAATAAAATTAGTTCTCATCACCTGGCCGGGTGAATTTTTTATAAAAAGTTAAATTTTTTTTTATATCTAAACATATAAATTTTTTTTTTTATTTACCGTACAAGCGTGAAATAACACGTTAATTAATCGACCTGTGTGATATTTTGAGTACACCCATGTGCGTTATTTCGAAATAAGGTTTGATTTTCCAATTTAAAATAACATGCATGCGCCTTATATGGTGCCTAACCTGTCGATAGAGAACATTCAGTAGTTTAAAACTGACACAATAACAATAATTTTGTTTTTTTATATAAAAATAGTACTTCGTTTAAGGCTGTTTTTAAATTTTTTTTTTTTTTTTTAGATGCATGCACATTATTTTAAATTGGAAAATCGAACCTTATTTCGAAATAACACACATAGGCGTACTCAAAATAATGCGCAGGTGGGGCTTGTACAGTAAATAAAAAAAAATTCTAATTTTATTTGTGTATGTGGCCTTATCAATCACTTTTTTTTGTTAACATCATCCAGAAGTCGTCTTATTCAAGAGTCGTCATATTCAAGAGTCATCATATTCAGTTATCGCAATCGGTATTGTTGTATTCAGGTTTCGTCGCATTTAGGTGTTTAAACTTTTTAAATTTCTTTTATATTGTTTCATAGTAGGCTTTTTTGTCTTCTTGACATTTTCTAGAATGGTTTTACATGTGTTTTATGTTGAGTTTTCATGAAGTGACTTGGCATGCTATAGAACATTTAATGTTGGATGCTGTTATCATAATAGGATTGGAGTTGAAAAGGATGAACAGAAGGTATTCATTTATGATCAAAAATCTGTAGAAGTAAGACACTTAGTGAAACGTTCAATGTAGGATCTTGTTATCATAATAAGATCAGTGTTAAATCTGCCTTTTATCAACAATTTCGTAGATAGAACATGCTAGTAGAACATCAAATGAAATCGGATTAAAATGAAAAATATAAGGCATCCACTTTTCAAAATTCGCAGAGATAGGACATGCTAATGGAACATTTAATGTTGTGTATTGTTATTATGAGGGAATTGGAATGGATGAACATAAGGCATTTTCTTGGGAAAATTAGTATAGCAAAGTACTTTTAGGTTTAGAGGTTAGGGTTAGTTACTTTGGGGTTTTTAATGTTATGTGCAAATGTTTTAGAGATATGTAAAAAATAAAATAATCATATAATACACGTTATATTAAATTACATATATTATAATTAATATTATCGGGTTTTAATTACAAAAATTATTAAAATACAAAAATGCATTTTTTTACCAAATTTTGTAATGCTAATATCGACCACTAAAATTATTTATTTATATGGATACTGTAATAATTTATTATGATTTTATTTATAAATAATCTCACATGCATATTTCTAAGCGTCTTCGCATAACATTATCACTAAAATAATCATTAACCAAAACATAGTAACTAACCCTAATTTCTAACCTCTGACTATAACTCAACTCAAAATCCTAAGAGAATTTCGTAAGATCAAAGAAATTACTAGACAATACAAACATATCATGCCCCATCTCTGCAAATTTTTGATAATAAATGATCATTCTTTCAACTCCAATTCCTTTATTACAACATACAGGAACCCTCATAGCAAAATAGGGCATTGGGCCAAAAAAAAATTTTTTTAAAAAAACCAATTTCTTGAAGAATTAGAGTAATAGACATAATTTTTATAAAATTACAGAAACAAAATTTTTGGCCTATTACCCTATTTTACTGTGGAGGTCACCATATCTCACCTCTGCAGATTTTTGATAATAATGATACCTTACCTTACGTTTATCCTTTCCCACTTGATCATAATACCTAACATTAAACGTTCACTAGCATGCCTCGTCTCTGCAGACTTTGATAAGTAAATGCCTTACGTTTATCCTTGTCCACTCTGATTTCTCCATCATAAAAACACCCAACATTAAACTTTCTACTAGTGTCTCCCATCTCTGTCATCCATTTCCATACCGATTCCATTTGATAACAATATCAAACATTAAATGCACCAATAACGTGTCCATCTCTACAGATTTTAATAACAAGTGGGATGCCTTACGTTCATCCTTTTCTATTCTGACTCCATTTGATAACAATATTCAACATTAAACATTTCACCAGCATGCCCTATTTTTGATAAAAGTAATTCATTCATTATGATAAATATATCCACATTAAATGTTTCTCTAGGGTATCTCACCTCTGCAGATTTTGATCATATGTTCTACTGGCATGCCACGCAACTTCCCAAAAAACATCACGAAACGTCGCATAAAACCGTTCTAGAAAATGTCATGAAACAATTAGAAAGCCCACTGTGAAACGACGTAGAGGAAAGCTGAAAAGAACAATACCTAATACAATAAACACCTGAATACGGCGAAACCG